GGGGTTCTGCTACAATGAGGATGTCTAGACCTCTGGCCAGGCAAAAGCAGGGACCACAGGGACCCAGCCTGGCATGACCCATCCATCTGAGTGAGAAGCCTTGTTCAGGGTCATCCGTGGCCTCCAACAGCCCAAGGGAGCAGAAGGTGACCCCACTAACAGACCTTCTGGGGACCCTCTCCTCCTGCTGGTATTTATTTGTTTTTTGTTCAAAAGCAAAACAAATAAAAGAAACGAGGAAATTCAATTTAAACAGTACCCTGGTGCTGATGTTTCTGTTTTGTTACACCAGGGTGAGCTTAGGACAGAAAATCAGCCTTGACTTTCACCCCTCCAATTGGTCTCACCCCTTGGGGCTGTGCACAATTACATGGATGAAGGCGCTGCAAAAGCATGTGGCCTTCTTAGATGGGGTGAAGAGAAGCCAGAGCTGGAGGAGGCCCTGAATTCAGAGAGAAAGAGGGGTGGCGGTGAGAGTGTAGGGGTGGGGTGGGGGTGGCAACCATAGTGAAATAAAAATTAAGATGGACCTATGTAGGCCAAAACAGAAATGAAGAGGACACACAGGGCTGGAGAAGTCCAAGAGGAGGTGGTGAAAGGAACCAAATACACGCAAAGCAGTCTGCGGAAAACCCAGACACTGACGGGCAGAGGGGCAGAGAGGGCCCTGCAAGGTAGGTCAGAAGGGAGGGAGGCAGTCAAGTGAGGAGGGCCGGCATCCAGAAGGAGGAGGAGAAGGAGGAGAGGGGAATGGGTCCTAACGTCAAAGGACGAAGTCCCACCGTTCTTGAGCTGGAGTGGCACCTCCATCGGAAAGATGCGCACAAGGAGGAACAGAGCGAACGTGAGTGCTTCCTCTGAGGCCGCAGAGGCAGACGAGATGCTAGCTGGGTCTCAAACTAGATTTCCTACCTGTGGAAGTGGTTGTGCACCACCTACATCCATTCACCACATCATCTGACAGCAGGGATCGAGGATGAATATCCAAAACCCAACCTGAACTCAATGTCATCCAGTAGATTCTGAATCATAGCGACCCTACGGGACAGAGCAGAACGCCCCTGTGGGTTTCCAAGACGGTAAATTTTCATTGGAGTAGGAAGCCTCATCTTTCTCCAGTGGAGCAGCTGGTGGTTTTGAAGTGGTCATCTTGTGATTAATTAGCTCCAGGAGTAAGCCATTATGTCACCAGGGCTCCTACTAGTATACAGTTGTGCCTAATTACGAATTGACCCTTTCAGACTGTCCTCTGGACCTATCCTTTCTTCTCATCCTGTTGTTTCCTCCAAGGATCCCGGATGATCATTCTTTCTAGGGCTAGTGGGATCTCAACCTGTACCTTGCAGGAAACGGTTCCTCCAGGGTTATCCTTGAAAGATTAAAAAGAAAAACAAAAACACTGAGAATCAGAAGAGGAAAGTGGAAAAAAGAAGATGTAACTAACCTTTCCCTCAGATCTCCATTTACCAGGCCTTTTGACAAACCCTGTTCACAGAATTTCTCATGTGATTCTCCTTTCCAATGGAAAGGGGGCCTGGTGGTGTACTGGTTATACATTGGGCTGTGACCCTCATGGTCCACAGTACCAAACCACCAGCAGCTCCTCCAGAGAAAGGCTGGGCTTTCTACTCCTGCAAACAGTTTTGTCCCAGAAACCCACAGGGAGTCTCTGTGAGTCAGTCTTGACTCCACGACAGTGACCTTGGTCTGTTGTTTTTTCTCCACCGGGAGAAGCGGTTACATCAAAGTCTAAGCGGCTTGCTCTGGGATAAGTTATGAATAAGTACGGGCAGCAGCACAATTTGCACCCAGCTCACCCTTTCTCTAAAGCCTGCGCTCTTTCTCCTCACACCCACCGCCTTTTTTGGACCAAGAGGAACAAACACATTTTGGTAAGGAACGATCAAGCAGAAAACGAGAAGCTCAAGAATTGCTGCTGCAACTATTTTAAAACTCGAGACAGAGGAAGTCAGACTTCATGGGAGGAGAGCTGCCCGTGGGATAACAGACTGCTCCAAACAACAGCCTGGCTCCTGGTCGGAATGGCTCCGCTCCCAAGGCCATTAACAAAATCAATCTCCAAAAGAAAAGAGAGACGTGTTCAGAGTTAGGGACAAACCGAAGAGGAAAAAGGAGGCTCCCAAATTCAAGAAATGGGGGAGGGAGTTGTCAGGCAGCAAGACGTTTAAGAAAAGGCCAATCAGACGACAACAGGAAAACAAGCAAACAAACACAATAGTAAAACCAACCCCCTTGCCACCAAACAGGGGACCAGTATTTGTCACTTTAAAGCACAGCAGTCGATCTGTTAGTCCTCAGTGATCATTGCTTCGGGAGTCCCATACAAATGTCCTTGCTGTCTCCATATGCACCTATAGTATTCTGGTTCAGTTAAAGCCGAAGCTGCTGCACTATCACCCAGAGACAGGGTTCCTACTTTGCCTCAATGGTAGGAGCCACTTGCTAGGACTCGGTTCTTCTCTGCTAGATGCCATCTCTCTTGGGGTTCACAGATGGCAGGCAGGGGAAACAACAGTGTTAACAGCTCCTGTTAGGAGTTCCCCATTGAGTGTGGAGGAGCTTTTGTGCATACCTCAGCAAGTCCCCCGGGGGCCCCCCCCCACACACAAACTCTCTGCCATCGAGTCGACTCATTGTGACCCTGTAGGACAGGGTAGCACTTCCCCTGTGTATTTCTGAGACTGTAACTATTTATTAGAGTAGAAAACCCTGTCTTTCTGCCAAGGAGCAACTGGTGGTTTTGAACTGCTGACCTTGTGGTTAGCAGCCCAACTCGAAACCAGTACACCACCAGGGTTCCCTAGACATCATATTATCCCCATTTTCACTGAGGAGGAAATGGAGACTCGAAGGTTAGGAAGCTCACTCAACATCTTACAGTAGATAGGACCATGGCAGAGATTTGAAGTCAGATCTGTCTACGCAGTGTGGCATTCAAGGGTCAGAGGAACCAGAGACAGCCATCAGGAACTCTTTCAACAATGTCACTTTCACCACATAAGCATCGATTTTTAGAGTTGATAGGGACCTAAGAGATCTGCATTTACTAGTGTTCTTGAGTTTCACAGGTGAGCTTAGTGATAAAGAATATACAGAGTCACTTGCCATTCAGGATGAGGACTGTGTTGTCCTTGTTAGAAGTGCTCAAATCTACTCCAACTCAGAACCACTCCACGATGAGACAGAGTAGAACTTCGCCCAGGATTTTCTGGGCTATAATCTTTATGCAAACAGATTGTCTGTCAGGTCTTTCTCCCACTGAACTGCCAGGTAGATTCAAGCCTCCAGTTCACAGCCTCCTACATACCCATTTGTGCCACCAGGGATCTTTGCGGGACCCGTGGCTATTTCTCACACTGGTACCACCTACTCTGTGATGTTTATTCCATAGCAAGAGGTCACTTAGCCTCTTATACGTCAAGGATTCTACTTGCCAAGCATTCGCTGCCCCACCTGCTTTTCTGTTTTGTGAAAGAAAGATGAAAGTTGAACTTGAAGATCTCCAAGACAGTAAGGGCAGAGTAAGGATCCAGAGGCCATGACTCCCAGCACACTGTGATCTTCTTGACTCTGTTGCATGAATGCAGTGGGTGTAACCAGTGAGCCTGATAGGCCAAAGTGTTCAAAAAACAAAACAAAACCAATGCCACGGTATTCAGAAGAGCAGCTTTCCAGATAAAGAGAGAAAATGGAGATGGAATATGTTTTTGGAGTGAGAGAGGTCCACAAACGGTGAGGGACAGATATTTGTCAAGCACACACTTTGAGATATCATGCTAAAGTCATCCCTGTTCCGTTCCCATACAACCCTACAATTTAGATAGTATGATGTCTGTTTCACAAAGGATACAATCGAGGCGCACAGAGGTAAACTGACTTGCCCACAGTGACATAACTGAAAATGCCAGAGTCATATTTTAATCCATAGGTTGTGGCCTTCATATCACCTTTGCATAAAAGGTCACCTGAGACTAGGCACCCTGTCTTAGTCACATTCCCCATCTCCCCTCTGGACAGTCCTGGCACAGTATTGGGACATGGGGAATCCTCAGAAAATGGCCCTGGTAAATGATTGGTGAGCGCATACATAGAAAAACAAATGCAGGAAGAAATTTACAAATGAATAAATGATTGGATGACTGAGCATACAAGTGGATCACAAACGATATGGGTGCATGTGAGGGGGAAGGATAGGTGGCTGAACAGGTGGGTGCAAAGATGCCTAGGTGGTAGATGAGTGTATGAGTGAATGAATGGATAAGTGGTGAATGACTGCAAATTTCTTAACAACTACAACTTTTTAGATTGGCAAAGGAGATGACCTATGGTTTCATCATTAGGGTATAAGAGGAGACTTGGTTTGTAGAGCTATATATTAGAGCGTATGATGGCGGTATTCAGCTATGGCGCCACTCATGGTGGGAAACAAAGGATAAATGAGTCCCATTTCCCTTCGGTGACTGACGGACGAATCTCACAATGACTTCCTCCTGTATGGCCAGAAGTTTGGACAGGAGGACTACAATGTACTCTACAAGGAAGGGTGATGGCATTATTTCCAAGGGACTGGCTAGATCTATTAATAACAAAGATACATATGTGTGTGTGCGCGCGCTATAGACACCCTAATCTAATCCCCTTTGTGTCACCCCATACCCCACTGGGGAGACAGCAAAATAGAGAGGGAAGAAAATCGACTATGCAGCTTTCCTTGGTCACTTGGCCTGTGATCTTAAGTAAGTCACTCTCCTCTCTAGGCCACAGAGTCTTCCTGAGTAATAGGATCATTCTGAGTTTCTGGCCTCCCTGGCTCTTCAAAATCCTCCACTCTTCAGCTATAAACTTCAGCACAGCAAGGTGTCCACATCAGCTGGCCAAGAAAACCTTGGCTGACTTGTGCAGACCTACATCATGCTTCCTCCCAAGGAGCACAGTCATCGTGTGTGCGCCATGCTCCCCACCTATCCAGCATGTCTTACTTGTAGAGGCCATCAGGCTCCAGACACTTGAAGATGACGGAGTAGACACTGACGTCGGGGACCTCCCCATGGCTTCGGCCAGCTGCTACACAAGATGTGCCCAGGCCAGAGAGTAAGTCATCGGCAAAACTCAGGAATTCTCCTAGAGGGAGACAACAACAAAAAAAATGAGTTTCCTAGCTCAGACTTTATGAAAAGACATGTGTGCTGCCATCTAAACCCATCAAATGTCAGGATACCATTGTCAGGAGAATCAGAGAATCCACAAGACCAGAAAGTAAAGAGAATTAAATAGAATAAATATCTAGAATCTTGGGATCTAGTTTTAGCTCTGTTAACAACTCGCTTTATAGAGTTGGATAACTAAATGCCTCACCTGCACCTTAGCTTTCTTTCTGTAAACTGAAGGTGATAGAATCACTATGAAACTTTTATGTAAGAATAACATACAACATAGATGTCCGCAAAGATTAGATTATGAGGATAAATATAGCAGCACTGTTTGTATTATCAAGAATTTAGAAACAACTAGAATATCCAATGGTATGGAAATAGCAATAACAATTATAGTTCAATGATGCAATGAGCTATTTTACAGCCATTTAAAAGAATATTATGGAAGAAAATGATGCCATATGAAAATATATCCATGACATGTTGTTACGTTTGGAAAAAAACAGATTACATTATTACAGAATAATTCAAAGAAGGGTGCAATTTTTACATGCATATGTACTTAGAGAAGGAAGAAAATACAGCAAATGCTTAATAGAGGCTTTATCTGGGGAGTAAGATAACGGAAACATTTTCTCCCTTATCTTTGTGATCTCTATTTTTAAAATTATCTACAATAAGCATATGCTGCTTTAGTAATGAGGACGAAAATCAATAAAAATTACTCTAAAGTAGATAAAGTAAATGAGCTGGACTAAATGGCCTCTCAGTTCTCTTCCAATTCTAAAATTGGATGATTTAGGAGAAAAAAATGACACTTGGGATCTTTTATACAACCTTGTATAAAATATCAGGAAGCCTCCCAACTTCTGTTCCTTTCACCCCTCCATGCCTGATATGAAGGCCCTCAGACCTCTGTACTCATTTGTCCCCTCAGTAATAGAGAAGGGGAGAATGCAAGTCAACTGGATCCTTCTCACCCAGGTTTCAGGACAATCTACTATAATGTAGCCACCAGGGCGCTGTGGTGTTGGTCAAGTGTCTGAGGAGACTGCCATCCAGAGAAGCCATCAGGTACTGTCTACCCTGGTAGACAGAATCGGCAGAGCATTTCTTGTTGGTCTTTCAAAGAAAAGCTGTTTTCTTCACTCACAAGTGAATCCTGTAACAGCTACCCGTCTGACTGCTCTGGATGGCCCTGCGATCCAGCTGGCTAATAGCTCTAGAATGCATTAATCCCCACAGTCCTGATGGGTTGTGCTTTTTGTTTTTCACTTTTCACAAAGACAATACACAATTCACAGACTTGATATGTAGATGCCAAGGCAAATGTCTAAATCAAGCTAATATTAGCAACATGCAAGTTTGGCTTCTATTGCCAGACAGACTCAGGCCTGAATTCCATTTCCACTATTTATTGTACGGCACTTAACTTCTCCGTTTGTCTTTCTGCAGCAGGACTGTAATCATAATGACATTTGTACTTGGAGTACAGAAAGAAAGTTTCAGAGTCTAGAAAGAAATTATTTTTCTCAAACCAAGGTTTTACTTAAAATTGAAGAGTAAATGGGCTTTTATCTTTACTAATGGTGGCATCCTCGCTTTCTCTTTTCAAGGAGTCTGAGTGGCATAGTGGGTTACACATTAGGCTGTAAACCACAAGGTCAGCAGTTCTAAACCACCAGCCAATCCTTAGCAGAGAGAAGTTTTCTGTCCTCGTAAAAATGTATAGCCAGGGAAGAGCAAAGCAGTAGTTAGAGTCTGTTCTATAGCCTTGCTATGAATCGGAATTGACTCAATGGCAGTGCATTTTTTCTCCTTTTTGTCTTTTATGTCTGTTTTTCCCATAGTACAATCATCAATGGATACTCACTAGCTTCCAGTAAGTACCAAGGCCAAGCACTGCAAGGCAGGGTAAAAAGTTAAGAAGAGAAGGGAAAAGAAGAGTTCTGGGATTACTAACTGGATGAACTGAAAGCCTTGTTTCCCCTCATTTCTCTGGCTGTTCATATTTGTTACCCTTGTGCTTGGATCCATGTCTGTCTGCTTTTCAATTTGCTTCCAGATAACCATGGAAAGCATCGACTCTTCACGCGCAATGGAGTGTGTCTGTGGTCCACATGAATAAACTCTCTTGAAGCCAAAGGACGGCTGTCATTCATTTCCAAATAGCCGTTGTTTTCCAGAGACTTTGAGGAGTTTGAGAATCATTTGGACAAATGGATAAAAGCTCTAAAAATAGGTTGGGTCAGTAAGATCGGCACACGGTTCCAAGGTTTTTAAGTATAGCTAAAGTAAAGAAATTAGGGTGGTCATATTCAAGACATCCTAAGGGTGCTTATTACCCAATTCCATGTGGAATCCCATGTGTTAAGAAACCTCAACGGAAAGGCATTAAAAGGAAGAGAACTGACTTTGAGAGCACACATCGGCCTCTTGCCACTTCATCACCAGGACAAGCTAACGAGTGATGGGTTATTCCTGGGATGGTGCAGCTAAGGGGGAACGCCCTGAGCCAGCAAGAAAGCATGTGGGGAGATTTGCCCTTCTCGAATTCCCCAAAGTTGAAATTTTTATTTTATTCAGTGCTGCCTCCCAGGGGGTGTTGTAAAATGACAGTGTTAGCAGGTTCAACTTGCAAAGAATCCTTGAAGCCATTTAAAGAGTAACGGGTTACTACCCCCAATGCCCAGTGAAGGGTAAACTCCCAAAGCTAGGGAGGCAGACCGTTAGATTTGAACACCTGTCCTTCTAACCGCCAAAGTCAAAACTTTTCTTTTTTAATTGTTTTTTTTCCCCAAAACGTTTCTTTGGTACTGTGCTGCCTCCTAGAGAAGGTGTTCGAATGACAGTGTTGGAGCTTGTCAGTCTCTTCCATTTGTAACCGAATGTGTGTCACTTTCTTAGTTCTTTGAGCTTGGGGAATGAGACAATAAAAGAAATGGTCCTTGACCTTCTCCGGCTTGTAATCTGACAACAGGAAGGGCTGTTAAATACAAGAGCAGACCCATAAAGAAAATTGCCAGGTAGCTTTTCTTGGCACTCTATTTCAGAAAGTTTCAAGGAGGGAGGCAGGTGCATAAAGTTAATGTCTTCATGTCATCTCTCACCTAGTGGGCATAGGTGGGGCCAAGAAAGTCTTGGGCGCTTGTCTGTGCCCAACCACAGGTCAGTGCAATTCAGCACCTGCATTGTGCTCCACAAGATTTCAGGCTCCAATTGGGCATCTATACAATTTAATGAGCAATAATATTCAGGAGGAAGAGAGGCTATCTGACTCCATAAAGATTTGCAGGTTCTGAAACTCTCTATAGGGTCGCTATGAGGTGCAGCTGATTCGATGGCAGTGAATACGATAGTACAGTGGTTAAGAGTTTGGGCTATGAGTGCTGCCAGCATATGGGTTACACGTTGTTGTGCTAACTGCAAGGTTAGCAGTTCAAAGCCACCAGTCAGAACCCCACAGGACAATGATAAAGCTTTCTACTCCCGAAAGAGTTCGTCTCAGAAATCCACAGGGGCAGATCGATCTACCCTGTCCTTCAGGGCTGCTGAGTCGGAATCCACTCAATGGCAGCAAGCTGAGTTGGGATTTGAATTTGTCTTGGGCAAATTCTTTAACCTTTTTATGTCCATTGCCTCAGATATAAAATGGGGTAATAATAGTATCTTACTTACATTAAGTAAATCTGCTGCACAAGATCTTTTTTTTTCCCCTCTCCACCCCACCCTCCCTCCACCCTCCAGGTATCGCCACTGGTCCTGAAGTCAAGATCGTTTGAAAGTGTTGAGAAACAAGGATGTCACTTTGAGGACTAAGGTGCGCTTGACCCAAGCCATGGTCCTCATTGCATCTCACGCACGGGAAAGTCGGTCATTGAGTAAAGAAGACCATAGAAGAATCAGTGCATTTGAATTGTGGTGCTGGAGAAGAGTGATGAAAGTACCATGGACTGCCAAAAGGACAAGTGGATCTGTGTGGGAAGAAGTCTATCCAGAGTGCTCCTTAGAGGCAAGAATGGCCAGACTTCATCTTACATACTTTGGACATATTATCTATCAGGAGAGACCAGTCCCTGGAGAAGGACATCAAATTTAGTAAAGTGGAGGGGCCACCCAAAGGAGGAAGGTTCTCAAGGCGCTGGACTGACACCGTGTCTGCAACAATGGGCTCAAGCATAAGAACAAGTGTGAGGATGGCAGAGCCCCCGGTAGTGTGTTGTTCTGTAGTGTAGAGGGTCGCTGTGGGTTGGAACTGACTCGATGGCACCTAACAACAATAACAACAACAACAACAACCACTTACAGTACTGTTAAGACCATAATACAAGACACTGCATGCAAATCTAATTAGCATAATACTTGCCCCACAGTAAAACCTCAACAAATCTATTAGTTATCAGGATTGTTTGTGTTACTATTATTGTTATTGTTGATGTCATTTTAACAAAGAATTAAGGACCCTTACCCACTGCTATTGAGTCTACTCTGACTCATAGCAACCCTCTAGAGGGTTCTCCAACCGGTACACCCCCATCCAGCAGATAGCTTCCTCTTTCCCGGAGGAGCAGCTGATGGGTTTGAACAGCCAACCTTTTGGTTAGTGGTCCAATGCTTACCAGCATCACCAGGAGTCTTCAGGATCCTGACTGATTATTGTTTCACCCAACTGGCTCCTTTCCCAAGGGTCAAAACTGAAGTCTAGGGAAGCAAACGGATGCACTCCTGGCTACACAAAGAGGTGGATTTGGAACAAAAATGTGGGCGCTTGGTTCTTGAGCTTTGTATCAGTTGGCCTATCAGATAAAAACTGTTGAAAATGGAGGCGCTTTCAAACTTGTCTCAGGAGCCCCTTGCTTTTCCATTTGAGGCTGCCTGTTTCTGGATAAAACTCTCAATAACTAATAGCCATGCCGCTGAGTCGGTTCCAACTCATAGAGACCCTTCATAGAGTTTCCCAGACTGGAA